TTTATTTATTTATTTATTTATTTATTTATTTATTTATTTTTTGGTTTTTTCGAGACAGGGTTTCTCTGTGTAGCTTTGCACCTTTCCTGGATCTCGCTCTGTAGACCAGGCTGGCCTCGAACTCACAAAGATCCGCCTGGCTCTGCCTCCCGAGTGCTGGGATTAAAGGCGTGCGCCACCACCGCCCGGCCTTTGTTTATATTTATTAAAAAAAATATATCAGTATGTTATGGAGCAACAGCTTTCCTGGGTCCTGTAGTTACCTGAACAAATTATGGAGACATTCATTGTGGCTGGCTTTATGTGATGCTAGGGCTCACACCTAGGGTTTCACTCATGTTAGGCAAGTTCTCCACCAGCTTATGTAGTTAATTTTTTAATATTATTTTTCTCGGAGGCTGAGGCAGGAAGATCATTTGAGGCTACCCTAGGCATCGTGATGACTCTCTTGAGTTTTAAAAAACAGTAACTTTAAAAAAAGAAAATGATGAGCATGTGTTCTGGTTATTATCATAATGCGAGTAAATATAATTTAAGAAGCGAATAATAGTCAAATCTATTTCATCATCCATCAAGAGAAAAATTCTTAGAAATTTTTAAGTGGGAGAAAGCAGTAGAGTAAGTGGGTTTTACAGAAGCTAAAATGGTGCTTTGGGGACTGTGAGGGAGGGCACTCTGCTTGCTTGATCTGTCTGCTTGGCTGTGACAAACCCCTCTGTAAACAGATGATCTGTATGGGGTTGTTATCTTACAAAAATTATAGCCTACAAGAAACTTACATAGAATTAGGTCATTTTGAAAAAGCAAAACACTGCATGTAACTAACACCAGGAAAGTTTGAGATTTCTCAATGCAGTGTGGTTTTTGTTGTTGTTGTTGTTGTTGTCGTCTTTGGTTTTTTGAAACAGGGTCCTGGAAATCACTCTGTAGACCAGGCTGGCCTCAAACTCACAGAGATCCTCCTGCCTGAGTGCTGGAATTAATGGCATGCATCACAGCCATCCCATTGGTGATGGGTTTTTTAGGCAGAGTTACACTGTGTGGCCCAGATCAGCCTGAAACTTAGAATCATCTTGCCTCAGCTTCCCAGTTCAGACAAAGGCACCATTCCTGGCTGTGTGATTAAAGTTCTATAGATTACATAAGCTCTTTGAACTTTCTTTCAAGTGAGTTGTGTTCTTTGTACTGTCATACCCTATATGTTTCCTAAGAATAAAGATAGATCAATCATTTGATAGTGCAGCAACATGGGTGGCAATTGAATGAATATCCAGCATGCATGTGTAAAATTATCCTCAAGTGTGTGTGTACTTTTAGCATGTTGGCATTCGAGGTCATGGAGAAAAGGAAGACCCACCTCTGAGACTCAGTGTCCCTGTGCTCTCACTACAGGGACCACTTCTGACACTGGATGGGAGAGTCCCCCCACACGCTAAGAAAGAAGTCAATGTGCAGCGTTGACCAGTTGGGTAGTCCCTCATTTAGCTCGGTTCTGATGCTACAAGGAGAACGCCCTGGCTCTCACTGATTGAGGTTTCAGTCCTCAACACTGTCCTCCCTTTAGACACCAGGGAAAGCCCCAGTTTTAAACTGTGCTTCTGACTGACTGACTATACGTTGGTGTTCTACTGTCCCCTCCTTAGGTTTGACCACCCTCTGTTTAAGCAGCTCATGGAATTCAGGGAAGTGCATTTACTGTAGAGCGTAGGTCAAAGGATGCAGATGTGTCAAGCAAGGCCTGGGGGCAGAGACTCCATACTTCTTCGTGATGCGCCACCCTCCAGGAACTTCCACTTGTTCGGCTATCTAGAAGTTCTCTGAAGCACGTCCCTTCGGGTTTTGTGGAAACTTAGTTGAGTAAGCAGGACTGAAATATGGATACCCACGTAAAAATTGATTTGGACGATGACAACAAGAGTATGAACGACACATGCTAACAGGCTAAGTCGGTAGACAGGGCTTCTGTTTCCCTTAGTGCTAGGAATGGAACCGAGGGCCTTGCACATGGCAGGCAAGTGATCTACCATTGAACTCCAGCCCACGCATTCTTTCTAAAATGAAGGTCGTGGGAATTCACTTACAGACAGCTCAGAATTAGAGTTTCTCTACCAACCTAAGGGAAGAGAAATTCTAGCTTTTGTGTACTGTCTTAAAAAAGAATTAATGAGGTCAAAACCATGGACAAAATACTGTATTATACATTCCAGCATTACCTCACAATCCTGTATCATTATTTCTCCATCTTGGCCCACAGATGCCATGTCAGTTGAATATCTAGTTTATGTTATTTATTATGACTGTTAGGAAAACCATAAACTCTTTTGTTCCTGCCTGACTTTCAGTCAAACCTAAGTGCTTGTGCCTGAAGAAATGACTCAGCAGTTAAGAGCAATTGCTGCTTTTCCAGAGGACCAGTGTTGGGTTCCTAGCACTCAGGGGATCTTAACCCCACTGCCCCGGCCATACACTTGAATAAAATAAACCTTTAAGTATTTCTAAATGTAATTAAGATAAACCTATTGCTGAAAAGATGATGCCTTTAGCTTTATGATGCAAACACAGGGCCCTCCTTGGGAGGGTGCCACCATTTGTTTAGTAGCAGGACAGGACTGCATCAGAGCAGTAGCTGTGGGAATATTTGTCAGGTGACACGGAGAACCCATCATAGGACATTAGTAGAAGCACCTAGTTTAAGTCTTGTTGGATCTGTGTGACAGCCTCACGGAGATTCTCAAGGCACAGTTGGGGAGATGCTGAGTAGGGGGGGAGATTAGGCTCAGCAATCGCACATCCCCAAAATAGACATCATAACTCAGATTAGATAGTCTTTACTGGGTTTGTTATGTCCTAGGTAATTGAGACGACATTTAGACATACTTTGCCTTACTTAATTTGGTTTTTAACAGTTTCAGGAAGGTAGTCTCTTACACTTTCAGGTAGGGAGTGACACATGAGGGCAGTGTGACTTCGGGCAGGACAGGGTGAGTAAAAGTGTAGACCTTCAGGGACAGATCTGCTTCTGACAGGTTGTGTTGTCTCCCATAGGGTTTCATGGTACAAAATCAGTCATCCGGGGTCATTGTCATCTGCTTGCTGTCTATATTCATGCTCAGGAAATGTTTGTTGGCTTTTGTTGTGTTGTATTTCCTCGAGTAGGGGAGGGAGGGAACTGGGGCTCAGAAAATTCTGAAGATGTGCTCAGGGTTACACCTCTGCAAGATGGCAAAGCTAGATCTCACTGGAGATCTCAGGCCACTTTGGTGTCTTCTGCAGAGTCACAAGTATGTCCGGAATTGAGGAGGTTGTGTGGAATACAGTTCTTCAATTGGGTAAGCTAATCATAACGACTTATTCTGGTACTTGTCCAGGGAACTGTGGCAAGGACTTAGAAACTGTGAGATTTTGAGGAAATGGTGATAGGAAATAGGAAGCCTGTAACTGGTTGGTGGGAAACTGGGGCCCTCTTGCCCTTGAACGCAGAACAGGAACAGTGATTTGAAATCCTAGAAACCATTCCCGTTGCTCAGATCATGCAGGGACAGCCTCAGAGCATTGTTGTGTTTTTCATTGTTTGTATTCAAGCAGGGACCACCTGGCCATTTAGAAAGAGCAAGGGAGTGTAAGACAGCAACATTTATAGAAGACAGAGTCCTGGGAGGTGATCACTAAGGAAATTAACCCAGTCCTGGGAAGACGGGTTTTCTCTTATTTGCGACTCCTAAATTTTGTGATCACATAAAACCGTGTGTGTGTGTGTGTGTGTGTGTGTGTGTGTGTGTGTGTGTGTGTGTGTGAAATGAAAGTAGAAGTGGAGTTGTTTGGGGATGAGAAGAGGCAAGAGAAGAAAGGGGAGGGGACACAGGCGGGGAGATGTGTTCAGTGTGCAGTGTACACAGAGAAAATATAGCGTATCTTTGCAATGGGGGCTTCACCCATTCTAGTAGAGTGTAGTCCTCCTCTGCCCAGAGGACAGCAATTAAGCAATTGTGGTAAAAGTGGCACCTGTTGAATTTGGTGTTGGCAGGTTGGTATCACTTTTCTGTCCCTCCACCCCACCCTGTGGGTGCCCTGACTGGGTTCATAGAGACTCCTCCTTTCCTTCATCCTACACCTACTCCTGTTGGCTCATTGGTCCTCCCAAAGTACTGCCTTAGCCCTGTTAGCCGTTTCTCCATCCACAAACCTGAGAGATCTCCCCAGTCTGCAGTGTGTCCTCAGTACTGTGTGGATGTGCTGCTTTGGTCCTTGCATGCTCAAGTTTTTCTCTCCTTGTGCAGGCGCTGCCCCAGTCCCTTCTCAGTCCCTAGTCATCTGCCTCCCTAAAGTATACTCAGAGAACTGTATCTAGTGCATACTTACGACCTTGAAGGTACCTTTCCAGCCCGAGTGCCAGCAGGTCCATGAGAGGCTGCAGTTGGGACATGAAGTTAGAAAGACTGTCACCATCACTCACAGGCTCCCAGGAGGCAGTGCAAACTGGGCTCTGCATCTGAGCTCAGTGGTTCCAGCCTGCCATCTCTGCATATCAGCTGTTTGACTGGGTTTTTGTTGGATTGTAATCTGTAAAAGCGGGAGAGCTCACACTTATCTCTGACATTTCTGTGAAATGCACACAGGAAATGCCAACCATTGCTGTGATATTTTCCCGGCTTTGGCTGGCTTTTTTTTAAGATTTATTTATTCTATTTTATGTGTATGGGTATTTTGCCTTCGTGTGTGTATGTGTGTACACACCACATGTGTGCCTGGTGCCATGGGTCCCCTGCAAGTGGAATAACAGACAGTTGTGAACTGCCATGTGGATACTGGGAATTGAACCCAGGTCCTCTAGAGGAGCACCCAGTGCTCTTAACTGCTGAGCCATTTCTCCAGCCCCTTGTCTGGCTCTTTTATGCTGGTGTCAGGCTTTTGTATTTCTGAACTTACTCTAATTAAAGGCTCCTTGGCTTTGTGTGCTTCAGTGATATGACCTTTACAAATAAGCGGTGATTCTCTTCCAGATGTCCAACATCACAGTCACCTACAGAGATGGCCGAGTGGCGCAGCTGGAACAGGTATACATACGCGGCAGCAAGATCCGATTTCTGATATTGCCTGACATGCTGAAAAATGCACCCATGTTAAAGAGTATGAAAAACAAGAACCAAGGCTCGGGGGCTGGCCGAGGGAAAGCTGCTATCCTGAAGGCCCAAGGTAGGTGCTTCTGGGCTGGCTTCAGAATCCTTCTTACCCTGTTTCTTGTAGGAAAAGCCCTACTGTTGCATGGGGACAGGGGTGAATCTGGCCACACTGCTCTCCACACATGCTGCTGTACCCTGTCCTGACCTACCCCCAGGCTTGAGAAATCCTTGGTGATGGGGGCCTTTCCCGTTATCTTTCTTGCCTTACTTGATCCTATCACTGAGTTTAGTAAAATCCCAAATCTCTCCTTAGGGAAAAAAAAAATGCAGATTCCTTAAGCAAGGGTGGCTCACACTTAGAATCCAGTACTCCAGAGGCTAAGGCAGAAGAGGCCAGCCTGAGCTACATAGCAAGACCCTGGAGAGACAGGCAGAGAGAACCCTGTCTTAAGTGAAATATGAAGGTCCTTCCTTTTCAAAAATTTTAGCCAAGAGAGCTAGGCAGCTTGCTCTGGTCTAGTGAGGATGTGGGTTGATACCTGAAATAGTACCGTAGCCTTCCTAGAACTGTGTGAAGTTTCCTCCCCGCCCCCCCCCCCCCCCATTCACCCAAGATAGAAAGGGAAATAACAAACCAAAGAAAGAGTTCCACTCAAGTATGTCTTGATGGACCAGTGAGCTTATTAGGGTTACTCGGGAGCATGGCTGGTCTTGCCGCTTCACTGAGAACCCGAACTCACCATGGGTAATAGTTGATGAGAGCTGCTTCGCTGGAGTTCCCCCTTCAGTTCACCGTCCACTGTCTCTATATTTATCACCTCCCAAGACAGTGTGCAGCTGGGGCAGGATCCCTCAAGATGTTCAGCCTCATAGTCGCAACAGATTGATTTTCTGTTTGCCTTTCTGCGACAGGGTTTCCCTATGTAGCCTTGGCTGTCTTATAGACCAGGCTGGCCTCGAACGCAGAGATCCACCTACCTGTCTCTGCCTCCCGAGTGCTGGGATTAAAGGTTTGTGCCACCACCATCTGGCTCTTCTTTGTTAACTTTTAAAATTGGGTGAATTAGCTCATTTGTGGGGTAGGGGACACGTGGAGATGAAAGGATAACCACCATGGGGTTTCTGGGAACTGAACGTAGGTCAGCAGGGTTGGCAGCAAGTACTTTTACTTGCTGAAGCATCTTGCCATTCCTTGTTTCAAATTTTCTTAAACTTGACATTAAACCCTCCTGTGACTTACACCAGAGTGTAACCATGCTGTCCCCAGTGACTGCTCAGCTGCTCCTGGAGGCTAGTCCAGTCACAGTTTATATTTAGGTCCCTGAGAAGTTCTGCCACAGTGTTAGGTGCAAAAGCATAGTCCTAAGGAAATACAGTGGTGTTTGGGAAAAGATTAGATGGCATGGAAGGCCATGGGTCCTCCATCAGTATCTTTAGCAGCATATTTCATGTGTTTTATATGTGAGGTACTTCGGTGTTTAAAGATAGAATGGTTTGATTTTTTTTTCTTTTCTCTTTTGGTTTTTTTGTTTTTGTTTTAAGACCTCTAAAAAAAGCTGTCAAGAAAATCTTGGGACCAGTGATGGCTTGGTGGTAAAGGTGGTTGTCACATAAGCCTGATAGAAGTTGTCCTCTGACCTCTACATGCACATAATACACACACAGATGAATAAATAAACACCAAAAAGTCTGAGAGAGAAATTTTTTCCCTTTGCCTCCAGGAGGGCTGCTCTTGCTGCCATAGTGACACTAGCTGTCCGTCTTTGCCGGTCAGATTGTTGTGCACCTCAGACATTGAGTCTCTGGTCAGATTGTTGTGCACCTCAGACATTGAGTCTTCCGGTCAGATTGTTGTGCACCTCAGACTTTGAGTCTCCGGTCAGATTGTTGTGCACCTCAGACATTGAGTCTTCCGGTCAGATTGTTGTGCACCTCAGACTTTGAGTCTTCCGGTCAGATTGTTGTGCACCTCAGACATTGAGTCTTCCAGCCCCACCGACTGCTGCCTGGCCACCTGTGCCTTTCCCACCCCTGGCTCTGGTCCCTATCAGCAGGTGCACAGGTTCCCATCAAACTCCTCCTTCAGGACTGCTCCAGGTTCCTAGGCACATTGGGTCACAGAGTGGTAGTCTTTGCTGTAGCTAGAGTTTTCCTGCCTGGCCCACAGTCAGGACAAATCTCTCTCACCTGAAAGTCCCACAGCCGTTCAGATCCGACCAAGTAACACAGAGACTTATATTGGTTACAAACTGTATGGCCGTGGCAGGCTTCTTGCTAACTGTTCTTACAGCTTAAATTAATCCATTTCTATAAATCTATACCTTGCCACGTGGCTCGTGGCTTACCGGCATCTTCACATGCTGTTTGTCATCGTGGTGCCTGGCAGTGTCTCTCACTCAGCCTTCCACTTCCCAGCTTTATTCTCCTCCTTGTCCCGCCTACACTTCCTCCTGCCTGACTACTGGCCAATCAGTGTTTTATTTACCAACCAATCAGCAACACATTTGCCATACAGAGCATCCCACAGCACTTTGCCTTTTTATGAGTAGTGTTATTTTTTTTTTGTTATTAAGCATTTCTTTCATGCAGAAAGAGTCAAAAGAATAATAAAACCCCTTACCCAGAATTAACAGATGCTAGCGTTTCGTATACTGTTTGAGAGTTTCAGAGGGAATTGAGGGCCAGGGCAGTATAGCTCAGTAGGTAAAGAGCTTGCCACACAGTATGAGTACCTGAGTTCAGTCCGGCGTGGTGGCACCTGCTTGTAATCCCAGCCAGCCAGTCTAGTCTACTTGGCAAGCCCCATGCCAGTGACAGACCTTGTCTCAAGAAACAAAGGAGTGGCTGGTACATGAGGAACAACACTAGAGGTTTTCCCGTCTTCTATGTGTTCACACACACACAGGCACATGCCCTCCCCTTACACCATGCAGAGTGAATTGAATGCATCTGTAGTGGCCTGTTAGTGTGCCGTGGACCAGCCCTGAGAATTTGTCTTTGCTGTTGCACTCAGACTACTGTCAGCACCCCTACCACCCTGATACCAGGGATCGGTGCCAACGCCACTCCTCCCCCTCCCACCACGTGACAGATGGTGATTCAGAGCTGGTGCCCAGGCTCTAGCTTGTCATGAGATTCCCAAGCACTCTGACCTCTCTTCTTCCTTTCAGTGGCTGCCAGAGGAAGAGGACGTGGCATGGGGCGTGGAAACATCTTCCAAAAGCGAAGATAACTTTCTCTGTGAAGAGAATTTTGTCCCTTTCTCTTAGGTTATTGGAGATTGGGGGGTGGGGGGGCTACATGTGCATATGTCGTAGATTTTCTTTTGGTATTTCTCTTTGTATCAGAAACTGTTAAGTTTAATAAAACTGGTTGTTTTGTGGTTTGTTTATGTGAGGGTTTGTTTTGTTTTTAAGGAAATAAGAACTCTGTGTTCATTCTGTAGTTTGCTTTGGCAGCAGGTTAAAATCTGACACCCTTGGACTGGGAGAATGCCAGTACTTTTCAAATAGCAGTTATTGATAAGCGGTTAGGTGCTGTTGAGGCCAGTGAGAGCCTCGGAGAAGGCTAACTTGGAGAGGCTCCAGGAACTGTGTTATCTTTGACACGTGCACTCAGTGTGGCACTTTGCTCAGTTAACCTTTGTGGAACACCATCAGCCTGACCTGGGAAGATAGCTCAGACTCTGATCGGTACTCTAGTTACCCCAGCCCCTCAGCATTGGAGGACGGGCTTCTGATACTAAAAAGTAATCCAGAGGCTCCTGGAGGACCCCATCTGTGGCTCCTCTGCTGGCTCCACACAGCACATTAATTATTAACATGAGGAAGATAACAAGGGAGGATAAAGTATGCAGAGTGAGTATTTGACATAGACACAAATGGGGAAAACAGCCTGAATCACTCAGCTATTGGAAAGAAAGTGTTGCCAAAGGTTCATTCTGGGATGAGCTGTAGCAGAAACCCTCAAGAGGAAAGGGGTCAGTCACTCTTTGTTTATTTGGTCACTTCTTAGATTTGTAGTACTCTTGAGATCCTCGGCCTAAGTTTGTTTGTTTATTTATCTATTTGGCCGTATTCCTTTGCCACACAGCTGCAATGGATCACCTTACAGGCTTCCTTTTCAGTAGTTTCATGACAGCTTTAATAATTAATTGATTTGTTACCTCCCCCAACTTGACATGCATTGGCTCTCTCCTTGGGGTTGGAATCAAGCATGAGCTTGCAGCATTAGTAGGCAAGCTCCACCCAGTAAGCCATCATGGATGAGCGTAGTCACTCGCTGCTTGTGTGGTGAAATGCTAACATCCTTACACACCAGCAGTAATGCCTTCTACTCTCAGCCATGGTTGTGGGTTGCAAAAAGCAGGGGTGAGGTGGAGAGGGCAGTGGAAACGGTTTCTCTCTAGTCCTTCCTGGCTAAGTAATCCTACTTGCTCTGTACACCAAGAGGCCTCAAATTCAGAGATGCACTTGCATCTGCTTCCCGAGTGCTGTGAGTAAAGGTGTGTGCCACCATGCCCAGCTAAAAGCAAAACCTTGATTTCACCCTAGCCTTTGCCTCTGTAGAACTCCATTCAGAAGGGACAGACTGAGTCTTCCTTTCTAACAGGATCTACTTTGTGTTGGAAACCACTTCTTTCAGGTTGTGTGTGTGGTACACAACCCCAGCACTCAAGAGGCAGAGGCAGGTGGATGTCTGTGAGTTCAGGGCTCGCTACTTAGTTCCAGACCAGCCTGGGTTAGATACCTTTCCTAAAAGATTTTTTTTTTAAGTATATTTAAAGTTACAGATATTGTGAGTTTGGGTTTTTGTGGGTTTTTTTTAATACACTTTTGTTGAGGATGCATGCCAGCACACATGTGGAAGTCAGAGGACAGCTTTTGGGAGTTGGTTCTTCTATACCTCTTGGGAATCAAACTTAGGTTGTCAGGGTTTCCCTTGCAAACAATAAGCAATTCTGCCCGTCTCCCTCATTTTTTTCTTTCTGCTTTCAACTCAACTGATTCCCCTCTAGTGTGTCCATGTGCTTACTCCTGCTGTCCCATTTTTCTACATTATCTTGGATTCCTTCTCCTGGTTATTGTGTGTATTCCTCATTACCTGTCTTCCTGATTGTAATTCTACTACTGCCATATTGGTTGATAGATTGTGACTGGTTAAAGTCTTACTGGTGAGCCACGGAGTAGATTGCTGAAGAACTTTCTTTCCCAAGGAGTAATCATATCCTTGCCAATACTCCTCTCGGTTTTAGTTTCTGTATATTCCTAACTCAAATAAAGGCCTTGAGTCATTATCTGTATCAGTTATTCTTTATCTGTCCAGTCTGAGCTGCTCTGCCTCATTGGTGTCATCCCAAGTTCCTGCCATGCCCTTCCTCAGCCTAGCTCCTGTTTTCTGTGCAGCTTCTTCCTCTTGATTTATTGTTTTGTATTTTGAAGACTACCTATCTGAAGGTATTCAAAGTTGGAACCAGTTTTCCATCATATTGAATGACTCTATTCCTGGGGATACATGAGCAAGCATCCCAGATAGGGAGCCAACAACAGACCAAAGTACAGATATTAGAGTCCAACTTGGTGAGCCAGTGGATTTTATTAGGGCTGTTCATAGGAGTATGGATGAAGGGTTACTTAAAGGAGCAGAAAATGACAGATGCACCACCAAGACTCACCCCAGTATGGGTGACAGCTTAGGAAACCCAGAGTGTACTGCATGGCCCACAGGCAGCTCACCTGGACTGCTTTGAGCCTCTTCTAGGCAACTCAGCTTGTCTAAGTGTGGCAGCAGTCCTTACTGCTTGCATGTGCTTAGGAAGGTAGGAGCATGGTGAGTCAGTTTCAGGGACACCCTGAATCCTTTTGAGTTGTTCAGTTCCTGAGCTTAAGGAGCTTCCCAAAGGATGGAGGGTTCAGTCTCCCCTTCGAATATCCCATGAGCTTCCATCAACAGGATGTTTTATCCCCGAGGACATTACTATACAACACTTCAGAATTTTGAAGGCATTGATACTTTGTAATTTTGCAGGTGTTAGGAAATGTCACTGTGTACATACCTTGAGACAAATGTGCATGTGTTGTGCAAGCCATGATGAACTCGGAAGGGATCCTGCCCTTTCCTGGGAAACCTTTCTTGCCTTATTTGTTAGTAATTTCCTTCCGTGATACGCCTGTGATAGTCTAGGGGCAACTTTTGGATTCTGGGGGTCAAACTCGGGTCATCAGGTTTGGCAGCAAGCACTTTTACCCACTGAATCATCTAGCCAGCCATTAGGAAAGATGATAACCCCGAGTTGGTTTTCTGAACATCCTGAAATGGTGTTTTGAGGGTAATGGTTCCCTGTTCCTTGATGGTAGTGTCTTCTCTTTGGAAACATTAATGTATCTGATGCTTTTGTTTCCTTACATAAGTTTTTCTACCTTTTTGGTTTTGGGGATTCCTTGTTACAGATTTTAGCTTGCCTGACAATCATTAGTAATCCCACAGATTACTGATGATTGCTAATATGTGTATATAGTACTAAAATGTATTACATATGTGTAGTAGTAGTAGTAAAAGGAATATCTGTAGGGTGGTCTGGTTGAGTGCTAGGAACTGAATACAGAGCCTTACACATGCTAAGGAAGTGCTCTACCATTGAGCTAGTGCTCAGCCCATTGTCTTAAGGCTTTCTTGAGTTAGACATTCTTTGGGGAACATGGCCAGTTTTAGACCAGCTGTGATGGTACATGCCTTTAATCACACTTGAGAGACAAAGGCAGGCAGATTTATGAACTTGAGATCAGCCAGCCAGAGATAGTAAGATCCTGTCTCAAAATAAAAAGTAATTTTTTAAAAAAAAAAAAAGAATAAAATGTGACACCATAAAACAGTAATTCGTCCCCCCAAAAGGCCAACATGTGACGTTGGTTCTGACTACCACAGCTATTACCTTCCTAGATACAGGAAAGTTTAGATTCCTCACGAATCTGTGGTACCAACTATCCCAGCAAGTTTCTTACTGAGATTCTATATTTAAATTAAGTGTATAGGATTTTTTTTCTGCTATTGGCAAAAGATAATTAGATTTACAACTGTCCCTGAAAAAAAGAAAGCAGACAAAATACATGAAATTCGTTTTCAAAATCCCAGGCCTCAGATATTGAAAGAAACTGATTCCTAACAAATAGGGAGTTACCCATTGTCCAGCTACGCTTTACAAGGAGATTCCACCGTGTTGACCAGAAAGCAGGGACTGAGCCTTACTGGAGCCTGCCTTCATGAAGAATCAAAGTTAAGAAATAGAAGCCTGAAGAACCCAGGATATCTGCAGGTTGGTCTTGAGTAGTTCACAGAACATGGATCAGCGCAGGACTGCGAAAAGACCACAGTAAGCAGGGCGGTGGTGGCGCATGCCTTTAATCCCAGCCCTCGGGAGACAGAGGCGGCCAGCCTGGGCTACAGAGCAAGATCCAGGAAAGGCGCAAAGCTACACAGAAACCCTGTCTCGAGGAAAAAAAAAAAGAAAAGAAAAGAAAAGGCCACAGTAAGCAGGAAAGTCTCTTACTGTAGATCTCAAGTGCTGTTTGATGACACTGTTAGCTTTTGAGTTGTTGAAGGCTCGTAGTCTAGCAATACATTCCAGAAGGTTTAATCACAGGATATTAGGCCAGACACAGAGGTGAACAATAGGTGGCTATTAAGTGGACCAAAGATAAACGGAGATAATTTGGCTCTGGATCTCACAAATAACAGATCTCCACAGCCAGTCTTGAATCTTTAACAGGCATGGGATTTTTCTGGAAAAGTCAGTTTGCCTGGAGACTCACTAAGGTCGAGTTAGGAAGCAGAGGGAACAAGGGGAGAATGTGGCTCAGAACCTTGATGATTTCTATGTGAGACAAGTTTAATTTCAATGGGCTCTGGGTAACAGGAGTGCTCTTCAGCACTCAAGCTATTGGCCCTGGGCTTTGTGTACATGTCAGATAAAGGAGGGGACGGATCCAGGATTGATTGGTCCGTATATGAAAAACACACTGGCAGGCACAGTGTTTACAGTCATTAGGAAGTAGCTGATCCTGAGAGCAGCACTCTGGGATTAGCAAGAACCCAAAATATCAAAGCATACATTCATAAAGTTAAAAAAAATGATTAGTCACAGAGAACACTAAAACACAAGGCTCTTTGTGTTATTTAGGAAGAAAACATGTCTATAAGCAAAGAAATGGTTTTTTTAATCCAGTCTTATTAATTTTTTTTTTAAGATTTATTTATTATGTATACAGTGTTCTGTCTGCATGTATCCCTTCAGGCCAGAAGAGGGCACCAGATCTCATTACAGATGGTTGTGAGCCACCATGTGGTTGCTGGGAATTGAACTCAGGACCTTTGGAAGAGCAAGCAGTGCTCTTAACCTCTGAGCCATCTCTCCAGCCCCTTTTTTTGGTTTTTTGAGACAGGGTTTCTGTGTAGCTTTGTGCCTGTCCTGGATCTTGCTCTCTAGACTAGGCTGGCCTCGAACTCACAGAGATCCACCTGGCTCTGTCTCCTGAGTGCTGGGATTAAAGGCGTGCGACACCACCGCCTGGCCAGTCTTGTTAATTTTAATGTTTTAGTATTGAGTGTGGAGGTGTGGGTGCCATGGGGGTACATATGAAGGTCGGAGGACAGCTTTCAGGAGTTGGTTCTCCTTCCACATGGATGGGATCCAGGGATCAAACTAAGATCCTTTTACCCATTGAGCTATCTCTCAAACCCATCAAAACTGACAGTTAACATTCAGTATTGTCAGGGAAAGTAAAAAAAAAAAAAATCTTTACTGCTTCTCTCTCTCTCACTTGGTTTTTCAAGACAGGGTTTCTCTGTGTAGTTTTTGGTGCCTGTCCTGGATCTCGCTCTGTAGACAGGCTGGTCTCGAACTCACAGTTACTGCCTGGCTCTGCCTCACAAGTGCTGGGATTAAAGGCGTGCACCACTATCACCCAACTTAAAAGTTACTCTTATGAAATCTCGATTTACTATATTTAATTGGCTAAATTGGGGGGGGGGGTTCAATATGGAAAAGTTTATTTGCTCAGATTTTCTTTTAGATTTACATACGTTATTTTATGTATGGGAGTGTTTTTTCATCAATGTATGTAGGTGCACTGTGTGCATGCTCAGTGCCCATTGAGGTCAAACAAGGGCATCTGATCTAGAACTGGAGCTAGGGATGGTTGTGAATCACCATGTGGATTCTGGGAACCAAACCTGTATCCTCTAGAAGAGCAACAAGTGCTAAAAACTGCTGAGCCATCTCTCTAGCCCCAAATTTGGGGTTTAATGCTTTAGGATAAAGTTGAGACTTAAATTTGAGTTGAATTGTAAGGATAATAATGTCTGGTGATGTGATGTGACCTTTAGTGGTACTAGTATGCTTCTTTCCAAATGTACTTTCATAAAAACAACAAAGTATTTAGAAAGCTTTGCAGAGTTGGGAAGACGACTGTGAGTAAAAATGCTTACTTCACACAAATGAAGACCTGAGTTCAAATACCCAGTACATGTAAAAAGCTACGCATGGCCGTGTAAGTCTCTGACATATTGTAGGGAGTAGACAGGGATTTGCTGGCACCAGCCTAGCACCAGGTTCAGTGAGAGACCTTGTCTCAAGGAAATATGGCAGAGAGCCATAAGCACACCTACACACGTGTACATACCACCCCCACATAAAAGACTGTCAGTGTTATGGACAATATGCAAGGAAGTAAATATAATATTTCATCTTTTACTTTTCAAGTAAAAGGTTACACTATTACATGTCGTTTATATGTATAAGTAACACTTTGATATGAAATTAGTTAATATTTGACTGGTTTCAGTAATTGGAAAATAAGGAGGGTGTTACATTTGAAAAACAAACAAAAACAGACTAATTATCAGTACCCATGAAGGTCTTGTCTCATAAGTGAAGAACAATTAGCTTGGACAAGCACTGTGGTGGACCTGCCTAACAAGTCACAAAAACAAGACTTGAAAAAATCAGATTGTTTTTCCAAGCCTATTAAGTATATCCTAGATTAAGCTGGGTATGGTGATTCATGCCTGTAGCATCAAGATGAGCTCTAGGCCAGACTGGGTTACAGAGTAATTGCCAGGTCTGCTTGGGCTAGAATGAGACTCTGGCTCAAAGCAAAGCAGTTTTAAAATGGATATAGCAGAATAAGACTAAAAAGATGCTATAAGAATATAAAGATATCCAGCATCTTGGTAAAATGTCTGGCGTCCACTCAAAAACTGGTAGGCCTGCAGGAGACAGGAAAGCACAATAATGAGAGT